GGCATAGATATCGATTACAGTTGAACTACATGCTAATTTATGACAATAATTGGGCCGGTAACGAACTAGTATTTATTATGCATAAAGAATTTGACAAAATGTGAATTATAAATTTACTGAAATAAGATATTATCGACTCAATTCTCAATCTCTGTCTGCAAGATTGTCGGCACTCGGCATATGGTTAAAAATCAAACTTTCAACAAAAATCAGAATTTAAGTCTAGTCCCTCACAGTGACAGCCGACAGGCCTCTCTCTCTCTCTCTCTCTCTCACACACACACACAGCAATCACTTCTCTCCTTCTCACTGTCCCAGCAACTTTTTCAGAGCACAACGAGTGAATGAGATCGTACTCTTGTGGGCTGATCTCTTTTGTTTTCAAAATTTGAGACTTGAATCTGCTTGAAGCCAAGAAAACCTCGCAGCCCACTTATTTTTCAGGTATGATAATGGCGAGCCTAAACAGATCACGTGCAGAAGCTATTGTGATTCGCTTCCTTTTCCTTTTATAGTCGTGTATATGCTTTATGAATCCAATTGCCTGGTTTTTGTTGCTCAGCTGTTAGTAGTATTTGGGATTTGGTTCCACTTTTTATCTATTTCCGGTCCATATGGTAAAACTTCCCTTTTTTCTTTTTTCACTTATCCACACTATATATAACTTCTACATGAAGTTTCCAAGGTCTTTTTTGGTGGAGAATGTTTTGATTTGCACAAGTTTCCGTGATAGATCTGGGCCTTAGTAGTGTGAATCCGATTTGTACAAGTGTTGTATTATGTCATTATTGGTCATTGATGTAGATATTTTCCTTATGTTATCTTGAGATCACTAGTCTCAAATGTTTGAGCTGTAATTCAAAAGTTTGTTGGGAGACATTCCCTTGTGTAGACCCTTTATTCTGCACTTTATATTATGTTTTCTCATCATTCAGTTCTTTTCCGAGCTATTCTGTGATGCTAAGATACTAACATTCGCTGCAGTAGTAAGGAGTTCTTGGATGCAACCCACAACATCATAATGGCACAAAAATTTAACTCCTCGGGCAGTAAAGGCCGGTCGCGAATATCCTTATTTGTCGTAATTGGTCTCTGCTGTTTCTTTTACTTGCTGGGAGTATGGCAGAAGAGTGGTTTTGGGAAAGGAGATAGTTATGCAATAGAACTGAACAAACAGCAGCAAGCAGAATGCATTATCCCACCTTCTCTCGACTTTGAAAGCCATCACAATTATGTGGCGCCCATCGAGTCCTCCGAGTCCAAGCCCAAAGTGATCGAGCCATGTGATGGTCGATTTACCGATTATACCCCTTGCCAGGAGCAGGATCGAGCCATGACTTTTCCAAGAGAAAACATGGTGTACAGAGAAAGGCATTGCCCACCAGAAGAAGAGAAATTGCATTGCTTGATTCCAGCACCAAAAGGCTACACGACCCCTTTTCCTTGGCCAAAGAGCCGAGACTATGTGTACTATTCTAACGTTCCTTTCAAGAGCTTGACTGTGGAGAAAGCCAACCAGAATTGGGTACAGTTTCAAGGGAATGTATTTAAATTTCCAGGTGGCGGGACAATGTTTCCTCAAGGTGCTGATGCTTATATTAACGAGCTTGCACAAGTTATACCTATTGCTGATGGCTCAGTTCGTACGGCTCTTGATACTGGCTGTGGAGTATGTTTTTTCACTCTCTATTTCATTTCTTATATTCCCTCCTATTCTTTTTTTGTCATTTTGGCTTTATTGATCATTAATCAAAGAAATATCGTTTGGGATATTTTATACGCATTTTTCTATTTTTACCCTCATTTAATTAATACACTACACGTCTTGGGAGGAAAGTTGTGGAACACGATGAGTTTTCTCTGTTAGAAGAACATAAAAAAAGCTGAAAAGAAAGAAATTAATTAATATTAATTTGTTTTAAATAAGGCTAATATTGGCAAGAAAAAATTTCTTAATTTATGTGTTAAAACACAGAATGACATTTAAAAAGAATAGGAGGAAGTATGTTTTTTCATCCATTGCTGAACTTTTCAGATAAGAAAAATATCCGAAAGAGCATCAGCTAACATTGTTTATGTTGTATTCATTTGCTAATATCTGTTTTATTATGACACCTAACGAGATTGTTGATATAACTATTGCAAAACAAGGTTGCTAGCTGGGGTGCTTATATGCTGAAGAGGAATGTGCTTACTATGTCATTTGCACCGAGAGATAATCACGAGGCTCAGGTGCAATTCGCATTGGAGAGAGGAGTGCCAGCTGTTATTGGAGTTCTTGGATCGATAAAACTTCCATACCCGTCCAGAGCATTTGATATGGCCCAATGCTCGAGGTGCTTGATACCATGGACGGATAATGGTATACTTCTATCTATAAATCTCGTTTTGTCATTAATTACATTTTCTTGTTATACTGTGTGCGTAATACTTAGTAATCTTGGGTGAGAACTGACGTAATGATGTTTAACACACTCTTCCTTTACGACACTTAAATGTAACAACTTCATCCTCTGATATGGTTTTCTGGGTGTAGTTTGACGTGACGTAGACTCTTGCATGATTGTTGCGGATTGGTGAATGTTTTGTTGGTTAGCTTTAATTGTTAGTGCTGTGACATTATTATATTATGAGTTTAATTGAGAGTTTAGGTACGTAAACGATTTCCATGTTATGTAATGGAATGATTCTCAATGCAGTGTAGAAATAGTTAATAGTTAGGGAAAATCGACCCCAGAATAAGCACGTGCTAATGATCTAAAAATTAGCAAGATGAAGTAGTCAAAAGGTGAAGCAGTCAAAACTAAAAAGATGAAAGACAGTTGTGTTTTGTCTGTTGTACAAACAAGTGAAACCTCTACCTTAATGTTTTGAAAGTTAAAGATAGAAAATATAAACTAATCAACTAGAGTATCTTTTGTTATTTACTTTAATGGTTTACGTGTCAGGTTCGAGCTTTACTATGTCTAATCGTGGAATAAGTAGTGAAACCTACCTTTAAGTCTCAATAATGCCAAAAAATAAAAATAAAAATAATCTTGTTATCTTTAGTAATTACAAATAGTATCGCAACAATTCCTTATTTTCTTTGTTTATAAAAAGTACAGATTAAGGACTGAAGTGAATCTACCTACTGAAATGTTAGCATTTGCAATTATTATGTATCAGTCAATCTAGTAAATCCACATACTGAATGCTTTCCATATTACAGCTGGCATGTACTTAATGGAAGTTGATCGAGTCCTTAGACCTGGTGGATTCTGGGTCTTATCTGGTCCCCCAATCAATTGGAAGACATACTTTCGTACATGGAAAAGGACAAAAGAAGACCTGAAAGCCGAGCAGTCAAGGATTGAAGACTTGGCCGAATCTCTTTGCTGGGAGAAGAAGTACGAGAAAGGAGATACTGCCATCTGGAGGAAAAAAATAAATACCAAGTCTTGCAAAAGGAAATCTACCAACTATTGTCAATCTTCAGATGCTGATGATGTTTGGTAAGTGATAGCTTGTGGTAAATTAGAAAAAAAAATATATATATATATATATAATAAATAATGAGGGTGCGTTTGTATATAAAAAAACTCAATCCATCCTCAAGTCATATTCAAAATTTAACTCAGTTTTAACCCAACTCCACTATCCATAATATTTTCTATATAATTAAATAATACCAACCAATCATTACGTCAACTTTAATTTACTATTCATCCACTCACATAATTTTAACTAAATATCACTTCACATCATCTCTCTTCTACTTTTATATCAAAACAACTTTAATTATTTTATTTTAAATATTATTTTAATATAATATCAAAATTCCACTAACAACTAACCATACCACTTTTTTTTTTTTTAAAAAAAAAATTAAACTTGGCTAACCAAAAAAACTCATTTTGAGCAAATACATTTGTATACAAACACGCCCTAAATGCCTATGATGTTTTCTCAATTTTAATTCTAATTTTTCAATTTCTAAATTTTAAGGTACAAGAAAATGGAAAAATGCGTAACTCCTTTCCCCGATGTGAAGAGCGTGAATGAAGTAGCTGGTGGGGAGTTGAAGAAGTTTCCAGCTCGGCTCATGGATGTCCCACCTCGAGTTCTCAATGGTGAAGTTCGTGGGGTGACTTCCGAATCTTATGCGGAGGATAACAAGCTTTGGAAAAAGCACGTCAATGCTTACAAAAAATCTGTTGGCTTACTTGGCACCTCAAGATTTAGGAATATTATGGACATGAATGCAGGGCTCGGAGGTTTTGCTGCTGCCTTGGAATCATCAAGATTGTGGGTGATGAATGTTGTTCCAACTATTGCTCCAAATACGTTAGGTGTCATTTACGAGCGAGGCTTGATTGGCATTTATCACGATTGGTAAGTGGTAACTCCTCAAATTTTCATATTAGCCAAAAG